TTAATGAGTGAAATCCTTCTTCGTGACCATCTCGTTTTCTTAGAAAATATATTCCTTGAGATGGGTGCCAACAGCCTTAGCTACCTTTCTACTTCTGTAGGAAAGCAATAATAATTTTTTAGGCAGGTTATGTGGCTTGGATTTTGATTACATACAGGATTTCCTTGAGTTTGTGGCATTTCCGGTGTGGCACATTTGTCCTCAATTTTCTTTGTGTGACTTAAAAAAAAGAGTGTTGTTCACTGAGGAAAATGGGAGTTTTCCTTCCCTTTTGAGACTCCTGGAGAGACTGCTGTTGGAAAGGAGTTGGATCATCCTAAATTTGAGATTCTTTGAATAGTGCTAAATGCTTTGCTACTCCATTTGGAAAGATTATAAGCTGCCATGCTGACTGACTGTGACATTCATTAGACAACTTTCTGGACAAATACAGTCAGTGAGAGGCAAAGGTTTAGCAGTATCATTTAAATGCTGTTAGAGAGTGTTGAATAGTCTTGTCTTTCTGTCACCATCTTTGGAGGATTTCATAGAACTGTGCATAATTCTGGGCTTCTTGTTGGGACCCAGCCTGAGAAAGAGTCCCCAGCAGGTTTTAAAGGGGCATAGGTTCTCCTGAAGTGGCTTTTATAATAAATGTAGCTATGTAATCATTTGGTTAACTTGTTATTCAACCAGTGCAGAACAGTCCTTGGCCTTAAATCCAGCTTAGCATCTTGATATGTTTCGGTTGCATAGTGCTACCAGCGAGATGACTCTCCCTTGACATATTCAGCCATTTGGAAACTTATTTTATGTTCAGAAACTTACTTGACGTTCAGCAGGAATGTTAGAGTATGCAGTCATTTGAAAAAATAAAGGAGGGATTTGGAGTTAGAAAAAGAAAAGAATCTGGTTGTCTTCTGGCAAGTTTTTGGTTCTGGTTATCTGCAAAGTATACACCTCTTGTCAGTATAAATAGGGAGTGCCTGTATAAACATTCTTGTTTCGCCTGTTCCACATAATAGTTTCTTGTATCATATTTCTTTTGACCTCACTATCTGAAACCAATTACAGGAGATCCATTTGGGCTGCATCTATTTTCATAAGAAGCCTAGGCAGCAGTGTTTTTCTCAGAGATGAATATCAACATCAAATATCCTTCTGAGTGCTTTGTTATTTATGTTTCAGAGAGATTTTGTAGCCTTCAGCTCTCAAGAATGTGTCACGCTGTGCTGTTTATACATTGACAATATTAATGGGCGTAGATGTCATTTTTCATTTTAACGTCTCAAATGCAACAGGCTGATAGGTTAAACATTCCTGATTTTAAAGGAAAGATATGAGTGACATCTGTTTCCTAAAAATACACATATATTTACTTTTGAAAAACCAAAGTAATGTTTACCTTCTTCTAGTGACAGCTTTCACTTTATTAAAATGATAAAGCCTTAAAAATAATTTAAAGTCATGCTTATATTAAATAAAAAGGTTTAGAATAGAAAATTAAAGCAAGTTATATCTTATAGTATTATTGCCAACAAACTGCAAAATCTACCGCAATTTATCAACTTTAATAGGGTAAGTTATATGCAATAATTTTATTTTTGTTCTGCTTACGTTTTAGCTATGCCAAAGCTGCACAGTAAATATTAAGAAGTAGTGTTCCCAATAAATATTTTACTAGAAGACACAGTGAGTTCTGGAAACCATATGCCCAAATTTCCTGCTTATAGAGCCATTACTTAGAGCATTATAATGATTTTCATTTGCGTTATTAAAATAATTTCTAATCCTCAGTTCTTTTTATTGCTTTTGTCTACATTGACTTTTTTTTGGTATAGTTTTACTAATTTAGATAACTTAATTAAGGAAAAGTGCCTACTAAATTTGAAACAAATGTTATTGGAAATTAGATATGATTTTGACTGCCTTACAATCTGTTCCTGCTCCTCTTAACTTTAGGTAGGACTCAACATAATTTTGATCTGCCAGATTTATAAGCGTCTGTTAGTTTGGCTTAATTATATTGGTTTTAAACCAAGAGCTATTATCAAATTAGTTCGCAGAATTTTATAAATGATACATAGGATGTGTGTTTACTTGAAGTTTAGATGTTTATGAATTTTGAAAGATATTTTCAAGTTATCGATGTATTTGCTAAGATTTAATAGCAGCAAATGAATTAGTAGAACTAATGTTTTATAATTTCATAATCTTCAGTTATGAATAATGTCAGTAATAATGCTTTGAAATTAACAGTGTGTTTCTGGGAGGTTGTTTACTAAGTAGCAAAATGTAAAGTTAAGCAGCACAATGGGAGAAAAAAGTACCATATGATGACTTCTCTAAGAACAAAGGCTGACAGTGATTTCTCCTTATGAGTTTTAAATCATCTCTGATCTCTTGAAATTGTTTTCTGTTCTTCTTCTATCTCCTGTGTTTACAATAATCTAAACTGCCACAATAAGATCACTGAAGTATTCAGGTAGTCATCATTTATAAGACATTCTGTATTAAAAGATAAGCCTTTACTCCTTTAGAGATATCCCAACCAGCACATATGAATCAAAATAGTTTAAGTAGTAGAGCCTTTTATGCAAGCATATCCTGTTGTGCTGCCTTGCTTTTTCATGAAGTGTGACTCTTTTTGTAGTTAGCTGTAGGAAGTCATGCTTTCTTAGTCTGATTCCACGGGAGTATGCTACCCACAATTTGAAATTGTACTGTCTAGCTTAAGTCTAAGCTACAGCAGACTATAATTCTCTAATTTTCAAGTACTGAAAATGGACAGCTTTACCAGATGCCTGCTTGCTTGTTTTATTGTATTGACATGAAAGGACTTTGGTGCTAAGGAAGATTTGGATGCTGAAACAACTTGCCGAATGTTCCACTTATTTGCAAGTATACACCAGCATTATATCATTACAATTTCTTTTCCAGATTAAGGCCATTCAGTCAGTTTTCTTTGACTGCCAGAAATGAAAAATTATTATTATAATGGGGGTTTTCCATTTTCTGTAACTCCAGATCTCTTCTTTGGTTCTTCTGGCAGTATTACACCAAGCAGCGAGGTTGGTTTTCCTCTACAGTCTCCCATAATTCAGGAATGCAGTAGTTTTTCTTCTTTCAGAGAGCTCTGAAAATTGAGAAAGATTATAAATTTGCCACAGATCTTCTGTTTCTGCCTTTTATCTGTGTTTTGTGCTTAAACAACTGAAAGACATTGGGACCAAATCCTGGTGCCCCTGAAATCAATAATATATTTATGTCTGATCTCAGGCAAAGGAGGATTGGCCTTTAGGATCTGCTCAAGAACTAGGAGTGCAGGAGAAATCATGCTATTCACATAAGAAAGAGTGCATCCAGTGGTTCCTTGGTAACAAATTATTTCAAGTGCACTTTGAAATATGCTAACTTTTGTTTATTTTTGGTGGAGAGAAGATAATTCTGTGCCTCTCATTGCTTAGGTTTAGAGAAATGTATAGTCTTTGTAAAGCTGACCTGTAATTACTTGAGAATTTGATGAAACAATATGGGGATTGTTGTGGGAATGTCTTCAAATGTTAAAAGTCTGTTCTGCAAACTTCGTACCAGAGCCTTCTATGGGGAGATGAATCAATGTTGTTAGGAGATGGTGCTAGTGCATTCACTTTGTTTACTTTGGTTTTCTATGTCTGCCTGCCTTCTCAGAAAACTTGCTTGGAGCCAGACTGTAGCAGCCCTCTCTCTGTCTTTTCATAATTGATCAGGGGATGACTGCCTTCCCTGAGGGTTAAGACGTGGCAACTTTTTCTGTTTGCTCAGCATCTCAATGCAGTAGTTCAAACATTGTTCACACCAGCTGGCAGTGTAATGCCATATGCACATCTTGTCAAAGCAACTGTTGTCATGGATACTAGAAACTATCTTAAAAACCAGCTCATTTGAGTCTAATCAAAATAGTACCTTCCTTTATCAGTTGAGAATCTTTATTATTTTAGGGAACATTGATCAAATGGCATTTATTGCAGTATATTCCATCTACAGTGGGTTTTAAAAACATAGATAATAGTGTGATGTATTGTAAAGCTGTAACTGCTATTTACTGAGCTGATTTTATAAAGGGGAATAAAATGAGTTCTCCAGGTAGTTTCAGTGGAAATATTTTAAATATTTTTTTATTTATAAATAAATACTACTTTATAACATTTGACATTTAAATATAATTTTATAGGGGAAAAATAGTATAGATCAGCATTTTTTGGGTAAGTGGAATGTTTGTTTACATTTCATATGTTTAACTGTATTTTGCTGAGTTGGAATGAAAACGTAAAATAAATGAAAACATCATCTATTTTGATTGGGATACTGTCATCCCTGAGCCCGATCTGGTTGGTTGAGTAGTAATTTCTTTGTTCTCTGATTTTCCTAAGAATGCAAATTAAAACCACTCATTTTTATTTGGCATTAAAACTGCACTCTTTTTTTTTATCAAATGAGAGGTTTCTCCTTGAATTGTAAGTACAAAAAGTGTTTTTAATCTTCAATGAATATCCTTATTAATTCACTTTCAAGATAATCTGATGTTGATTTGTCAAATTTAATTACAGCTTCTGGTAACACTTGAAGTCTACTTGCTTTTACTTCAAATTGTAATATGAAAATGCAAATTGAATGATAATTTGCAAGGGAGTGGGCATTTTAGTTGAACACTCAAAGACAAGTTCCTTGTGGAAATGAGGCTATTGATGCAGTTTATGATTTTTCCTCTTCAAGCACTTCAAACAAATTAACTTTATTTCCTGCAGGATTTCATGTACATCCATAAATTCTAGGGAAGTCTTATATATGTACTTTCAGAATATTTTTTTTAATGTTTTAAGTAAAAAAAAAACCCTGAAGTCTGAAATCTAGCAAATACAAATCAAATAGGAGGGGATTATGTTTGTTCACTTGGACTTTTACCTAACATTAGCAATGAGTAACTCATTTCTTTCTAGGAACTGGTCAAATTTATTTGCCTTTTTTTTTTTTACTTTTAGGCACTCCAGGCAGCAAGGCAGCTGCTTTTACAGCAACAGACAAGTGGACTGAAATCTCCTAAGGGCAGTGAGAAACAGAGACCGCTGCAGGTTAGTAAAGAATCCTTGATTTTGGGGCCTTAATCTCAGGGAAGAGTGCTTGCTCACACGTAAGGGATGTGTGCCAATTCCTGTACTGTAATACTATGCATGTGCTTATTCACATACTGGAGGTTACAGGCTTCTTGCTGCTGACTTCACAGAAAAAATCCGCTATAGGTTACAAAGGCCTTTTGTGACTACAGATGCTTAAAAGGTCTGAGATTCAGTTCAGTTGCTGTGGTATACATTAATTTTTTATGGACATAGAATTGGTATGTGACTTTTATACATACATGGATTAAATTGTAAAAATGTGTTAAGAATAAGAGTAAAACAGAATCTTGGGGGGGAAAAAAACCTTAATAATTACTTGGTACTATATCTGTAGCAAACAGAGAAGTGCTCAGAAACTTAACAACACAACTACATGAAATTATGGAAGGGCTGCTTCTGACATTTTAGAAAAAAATATATGTCACTGAGTTTTACACTAAGACGTTGTTGGGCTTCAGATTGTGTTCACAATAGAATAGAAGTCCTGTTGATGAATAATTATTTAAAATGTATTATTAGTAAAAATATAAAGAGAGTTTTAGTCTGGGAAAATTTTATCTGAGTGAGACTTTTGTATGGTATTAACTCATTTATTTCTAATTGAGAGTTCCATATGAAGTTGCATTCTGCTGACAAAACTTGTTCTCTCTTGCATATAGACAAAATATGAGTGTTTAACTGCTGAATTACATTTTGTTGCAGACAGTTCTATTTTATTCAGAAAAATTAAAAAAAATCCTATCATTCTCTTCCTCACATCTATTTTTCTGGGTGAGCCTTTATTCTCCTGGGTCTTCCCCTGTTTTCTGATGGAGTAGGATTTTTTATCTCATTTTTAGTTTTTGTCGTGCATAATGGAGGACTCCAGGCACTAGAATTTATCTTTTTCTCCACCAGGGAGATGTTGTGAAATTCGTTCACTTGTGCACTTTTTGTATGTTATTCACATTGTCTCCTTTTCTTTGTAAAACTTGGTCGAGCAATGTTGGGCCCAGCAAACAGTTCCACATTCCCAATCAGCCTTCTTCAAATATACTTCTAAAGTTGTATTTACTTGCTCAGAACCAAACAAGAACTTAGGAATATGACTAAAGAAAGTGGAAAAAATGAAAACATCTTGTGTTGGCATCCTGGTATACTGTAGTTTTAGTCCAGTCCAAAGGCTGAGTCCCAGGACCTTCTCAGCTTTCCACTCTTCACCCTTGACTTTGCTTTGTATCAAGTATCTTCTACACTAAAGGCACTCAAGAAGAGTAGCCATAAAAGCAGAAGTTTATGAACTACATAGTTTTTTAAAGTTTTTAGAAACAGAATTGGTGATCTTGAATTGGTTGAGTAGTGGAAATGGTTGATTTAATAAATACTGTGAAAGTAGTTTATTCTGCCACCTCCTTGTTCTGAAAGATAACATTGGCTGTACCAGAAGTGTACAAGATCCATCTTGCCCTATATCATATCTCTAAACTGGATTACACAAAACACTAAGAAAAGTATATGAAACAGGCAAAAATAGTGTTGTTTTCCCAGTATATATTTCCCAGTGATCTTACTCAAATCCTATACCTTGTAAACCAGAGCAGTTCAGGAGCTACAGACTTCTCTGTTCACATTCTCCACCCATTCTTAAACCTCGTTTTCAAGACTGAAGAAGTCTAGAGGTGCACTGTTTGTGGTAGGCATTGATGAAAGGGTAGAAAACCATGTTTGGAAACAAAAGGCAGTCACATACAGAACCCAGAGGATGATGAGACGAGGAGAGGGAGTCTTGTGCTTTCATGCTCCCAAAGCACTAACCTTTGCCTGATGCCTTTAAATGCCATGGGTTGGTGTATTGTAGAGATGTACTGCATCACTTGTTTCCCAGGCGGAGTCAGCATCTCAGGAGTTACACTCATGAGGAAGAAAATAAAGAAAATAATTTTATTTTCAGAATTGTTACATGCTCTCTAAAGCGTAGATTACTGCTCATGTTTCCAAATTATTCTTCTATTATCAGTGTGTGCACAGTACCTCTTATTGGCCTTGAACACTTCTTTGGTTCATTTTTAAAGGAGAAGGAAATGGAATTTGCTCCCAGACTTTGGTTTATGTATCAAATACCATGTAAATTCAGGTATGAGCACGAACTCCATTTTAATTTTGTTCTTTAGTGAAAAGGATGTATAAAGGTTTTGAAAATGAGTCCTTGGAGCACTTCTGTTTCTGTCTTTTACTGTTCATTATTCATTATTAAGTGGAAATTTATGTTTTGAGCATGTTTCCTGTTTGACCAAATACTGTAATATGGGTCATAAAGTTGTATAGCCTTATTGATTTACTGTGCCAAATTTAATGGCAGTTTTAGCCAAAATATTCTAGCAGTAGGAATTGCTAAATGTGTGCAAGGTTCATAAGACAAAAATAGAGGTTTATAAGACGAAAAATACTTGTGTTTGTGCTTAAGAAAACAGACATCTCCCAATATTTTACAGTACTTTAAAATTAGTGTGTATCTAATTTCCTCTACTTCAGAGCAATTTACTAATCTGGCAACTGGAGATATATTAGAACAGATTTATAAACCTAGTAAAAATGTAATAGAACATTTAAAACTAGCTCACACATCTGCTGGCAAATTTGGGTATTAGATAAGCCTTGCCATTTCATCTCTTGTGCCCTATATTTTAATGTAAACCACTCTATTGTTCCACATGCCAAAGAGGGGGAAAAAACCACAGTACTTATTTTAGTGACCATCTTTTTTTTTTTTTGGCGGGGGGGAGTAGCATATGATGCTTTTATGTATGTTCTCTCTGTTATTCCATAATGCGTCAAGTATTTTAGTGACTTACAGCACCTACTAGCTAATCAGCAAGTTGAAAGCTGATTGAAGAAACCTTCAAATTTGTGTCCTCAACTTTGCAAAAAAAGGGTGTTGGGTAAGTCGTCATGTTCTACTGTGCTTTACAGAGGGGATGGTGTTAGAGGAACTGCTGGGATTTTCCTAGAATAATTTGTCTTTTGTGTTCTCACGGAAAACCTTTATAAATTTACTGCTAACTATGTGATCTATTATAAAAGTGTAATGTTGTACTGGAAGATGTTTTTGTTTTGGTTTCTGATGCAAAAGTTACCCTTATCTAGTAGTTATCCTATGTATTCAGGGACAGGAGGTTTATATTTAGATTGCGAGTTAACAGAATACCTGCAAAAACTACAGTTTTAAATAGACACTTGTCTTGATCTACTATTACTTTGATTTGCATTTGTCTGGGTTTCACACTGCAGATGGCGTAACCATTAGCATGTCTTATGTAAAACAGAAGAAGAAAAACATCCCTTTTGACAAGCTTGAGTACCAGTTGTGGTAGTGATTTTACTTTCATATATAGATATCCGAATAAATGTATTTGAAACATGTTTATATATGCCATTCATTACACTGATGCACCAATTGAATGCATCCAATTAGTACATACATTGATTAATGACATATTGCAAAATAGCTACAGAGAGTTTGTGATGAGAGTTGAGGATAATATTAACCTGCATATGATGAGATAATAGCATTTACTTCTTTACTGTGCATCCAGCAAAACATTGCAGTAGTAAGGTTAAGATTTTTGAAGTACTGTTTTTTGTTTCAGAATATTTTTCTTTCGTGAAGATTCTGTGATAGTGTTCATCTGATCACTTTCAAGGATTTCTCTCCTTATCACCAAATTTCCATATTAGGCATAACTGGTAAAATGTCAATTTGGCTCTTAGAACCTGTAGATCATTATCCTAGAGCAGAAAGTCACCATCCTTGTGGCCACTGAGGAACCCATTGTCATCTAGCTTGAGTTTTAAATTGGGAGCGTTCTTTTTGTGTTACATTTACAGTCATGAGTGAAACTTGTGGTACTTCAAGAACCTTGCAGAACACAAGAATAACCCAAAGGCAAATGCTGTCAATTTTCTGCCACAGAAGGGTGTTTGTGTACAGCATTGCAATTATTTCCCTTCCAGGTAGGCAATCGATGCTTAGACTAATCTGTCCATGATACACATACTGTTTTTGTCTGCATAGCATCGTGATTTGGACACATATTTGCTCTAAGAGCTATGAAAAGCCTATGTATTTCTATTCCCTATAGTGTCTCTAAGTAAGCTACTACTAGAGCAGTAGCTTATTTTCATACAGTCAGACTTCAATTAGAATAAATAGGTAATTATCTTCTGCCCCATGAATTGGTTAAGTTTTTTTTTCCTTCAGGCTAGGAGATTTGTTTCAACATCATACTAATGCATTCTGTAAGAGGATGGCATGTCATGAAATCATGACTCCTGGAATCAAAGGGTTAAGCTCAGTGTGTACCAAGCCTGTTGTATAAATATCACGCTGTATGGAGTGTTGAGTTGTTATGGTAAGCTTTGTTTATTTAGCATGAGCACTTCACTGAAGTGTAATCATTTGGTAAAATTTGGGAAAAGTAAGTATACACTTAAGTTTAATTACTTAATGTTTATTGCATTAGTTCATAGTATCAGAAGGACCTCTTGTTTTTAAAGATACTGAAAATGCAAAAATTTAGCATGAAAATTTAGGATGAAAAGATATTCATAGTCTCTTTTAACTTACTCTCCTTGCTTTACTCTCTTCTAGTTTGGTCATCGATATGGGTCTGAATTTAAAATTCATTTCATATAATAAATAAGCAAACATATAATTTATATTGTAATTTTTAGTTACTTTTTTAAACATATGTAAGGAGTTGATAGAGATAAGAAATAGAGAATGTGGAAAAAAAGAAGCAAAACTCACTGCTTTTAAATTATATCCTCCAATTTAATGTACATAGACTTCAACCATGCCTGTGTAATGTCAGTATAAAAACACTGATTTTAAAAACAGCAAAAAATTGTTGTGGATGTAACTTAGAGAGTTTTCTTTGCATTGCATTTAACAAAAATAGAAATAAATCTGTTCTATA